AAAAAGTACAAAATTGAGCAGTAACACTTCCACTCTTCCATCCGAATTCGAATTTAACGCATGCTATGCTAAAACCTTTTGTTCGAGATTCCGTTAACGCTGCGCCGTCCGATCAGATGGCAGCATCGATCGGGTAACGACGCTCGATCACCGCGGCAGCTTGCGCCCGCACGGGCGCGCTCATCGCCAACGTCTTCCTCGCGATCGAGTCAATTGTACAAATGGCCGCGCGGTGACTAGAAGTGTAACTAGAAGTGTAACGTGTGCTCGGTACGCTTCGCATCGTGATTCCGGTTAATCGTGCACATCGCAGTGACTACGCTGCTTAGACTTTCGTATAAATTGTGAAATAGACCGCTCATCAACTCTGGTGCCTTAACACGACGACTCAAGTTCACGCGTGCGCGAGTGCCGACCGCCACGTGTCTCACCGGCTCACGGGCTAATCATCACGAAGAGGACGGCAATTAATATAATTGTCTCACGCTTATAAGGACTAGAAAGACACCTCATTTGTTCACCGCTCATCACTCTCAGGTCAGATTGTATCAATTTTGACGCATTAAAGACGGCTCAGACTGTGGTCTAAGTTACACAAAAATAAAGTGAATAATTAGTTAACACCTTCCACGCGCGTCCTTCTCATCTCGCTCCCATCGTCGGGATTAATCAGCGATTTCGCGAACATTTGGTCCTTCGAGCCGGATGCGTGGAAATTAGAGTGTAACTCAGACACAGATCATGTGGACAGGGCATGCCCTTCACGACATGCCACGTGGACATTATCGCGCGCTTTCGCGAGTGAAGTACAGACATTCTCACGCGCGCTTGCGAGTGTTACGAAAACATGTTCACGCGCTCCCGCGAGTGTAAACAGACATTTTTACGTGCTCAATACATGACATTGTAGATTCTCGATTCGCGTAGTGTTGTTCTAACGCGTTTCTCGAACGTTCTCGCCTCGTGCAGTATTTCTCATACGTGTCTCGACATATCTCAGGTCTCTCATCGGGCGCAGCTCATTGACGTCTCATCATGCCGGATCCCGCCAAAACCGCGACGGACGGCAAGACCCTGCCGTTGCTCGATCTGCCGGAGGACAGACGCGTGTCAGATCGCCAGGCCTCACCGGTGCGTTTGTCTGCGGAACTCACCTTGAAGGTGCAGACGCAGATGAACCGCATCGCGACAGTGCGGAACATCAGCGAGACGTTGCCATCGTCTGCGGATGACACGTCAGTGGATGATGTCCTACAGATTTCGATTCAACTCGAGAAAATCCACAAGGCGTTCCTCAAGGAAACGCCTACTTCGACGTCTCATGGCCGGCGGCGCTCATCGCCCATGAATATTTCTTCAAAAACGCCTTCGCCGTGGAGGCGCAGGAGTGTATGACGGCTCGTCGCGGTCTGGCAAAACTCAAGGGCGCATTGTCGGAAAGGATCGCTCCAAAGACAGCTCCTGCAGCGGCGCCGCCCTCACAATCTCAGCAGAGATTGCCGGACATCAGCATCCCGTCCTTCAAGGGCGTGTACAAGGCATGGCCTACGTATCGCGATCTTTTTAAGGCGGTCATTTATGTTAGCCAACGGCTCACAGACGTGGAGAAACTCCACTATCTGCGATTGTCACTCGAAGGCCCGCCTGCTCAGCTCATTTCCGGTTTGCCTCTCACCGGCGACTCGCTCAAACCCTCGTGGGAGATGCTCGTCGATCGCTACGAGAACAAACGTCTGCTCATTCAATCTTATCTGGACCAGCTCTTTGCCAGCTCAACACCGGTGCAGAAGAACGCCGCGGCACTGGACAAGCTGCTCAACACGTTCAAGGAGGGCATCAAGGGCCTCCAATCCTTGGGCGTCTTGCAGGATCTGGGCGACTGCATCCTAGTGTACCAGTTGTCTAGGCAGCTAGATCGCCAAACCAAGGAGCAGTGGGAGACGTCGTTGTGCGCCGCGCGCGAGTACCTGCGATTCGTGAAACTCGAGCAATTTCTCACCTCGCGAGCACAAGCACTCGAGAGAATCGAGTCAACAGCCAGCTCTGGAAGCTTGGCAGGGGCTGCTTCAACAACACGGCGCTCCTCGACGGCTCATCATGCGGCAGCTCAACCGGCACGCACTACTACATCAGACGGCTCAACGGAGTATCCGTGCGACTGCTGCAACGGCACGCACTTCGTAGTGACGTGCCCTAAATTCAGGGAACTCTCACCGGGCAATCGACAGAAGCTAGTCATCTCACGGAGGCTGTGCTTCAACTGCCTCGGCCGTCTCAACATTCGTTCATGCAAGAGCTAGAGGGTGCAAGAAGTGGGGATTGTCCCGATTGCGCACATTACAAATCGGACACGACAATATTTCCCGATCGGACACGGTGTCGATTGCACACGGTGCCGATC